GCCCCCCAGCAGGCCTCGAAAGTGGCGACAGTTTCACAGATCGCAGCCCCCCAGGGGTGGCGAGGTCTAATTTGGGTCCGCGCGTGGCGTCACTGTGCTGGGCCCCCAGCAGGCCTGAAAAATGGCGACAGTTTCACAGATCGCAGCCCCCCGCAGGCAAGACAGGAGGAGGCAAGAGGGAGGCGGGACGGGAAGAAGTGGAGACCACACTGCTCTACTCAAAACGAATACCCAACCAAGGAGGGTTGGGAAAATTACCCTGTGACGTACCCAACCCATTTGTATCAATGGAAACGAGGAGTTGGCCGAAACTTGTATGGACAATCAACTTGATGTGTAAGCTACTTCGGAGGCGTCACTGTGCTGGGCCCCGCCAGCAGGCCTCGAAAGTGGCGACAGTTTCACAGATCGCACCCCCCCAGGGATGGCGAGGTCTAACTTGAATCCGCCGTGGGTACCCACTGTGCTGGGCCCCCCAGCAGGCCTCGAAAGTGGCGACAGTTTCACAGATCGCAGCCCCCCAGGGATGGCGAGGTCCCATTTGAATCCGCCGTGGGTACCCACTGTGCTGGGCCCCCCAGCAGGCCTCGAAAGTGGCGACAGTTTCACAGATCGCAGCCCCCCAGGGATGGCGAGGTCTAACTTGAATCCGCCGTGGGTACCCACTGTGCTGGGCCGCCCAGCAGGCTTCGAAAGTCGCGACAGTTTCACAGATCGCAGCCCCCCAGGGATGGCGAGGTCCAATTGGAGTCCGCCGCGGGTGCAGACTGTGCTGGGCCCCCCAGCAGCCCTCGAAAGTGGCGACGGTTTCACAGATCGCAGCCCCCCAGGGATGGCGAGGTCCCATGTTGAGTCCGCCGTGGGTACCCACTGTGCTGGGCCCCCCAGCAGCTCGAAAGTGGTGACAGTTTCGCTGATCGCAGCCCCCCAGGGATGACAGGTCCAATTTGAGCCCGCCGTGTGTACCCACTATGCTGGGCCCCCCAGCAGGCCTCGAAAGTGGCGACAGTTTCACAGATCGCAGCCCCCCAGGGATGGCGAGGTCCCATTTGAATCCGCCGTGGGTGCAGACTGTGCTGGGCCCCCCAGCAGGCTTCGAAAGTGGCGACAGTTTCACAGATCGCAGCCCCCCAGGGATGGCGAGGTACCATTTGAGTCCGCCGCGGGTGCAGACTGTGTTGGATGGCGAGGTCCCATTTGAGTCCGCCGCGGGTGCAGACTGTGCTGGGCCCCCCAGCAGGCCTCGAAAGTGGCGACAGTTTCACAGATCGCAGCCCCCCAGGGATGGCGAGGTCTAATTTGAGTCCGCGCAGACTGTGCTGGGCCCCCCAGCAGGCCTCGAAAGTGGCGACAGTTTCACAGATCGCAGCCCCCCAGGGATGGCGAGGTCCCATTTGAGTCCGCCGCGGGTGCAGACTGTGCTGGGCCCCCCAGCAGCCTTCGAAAGTGGCGACAGTTTCGCAGATCGCAGCCCCCCAGGGATGGCGAGGTCTAATTTGAATCCGCCGCGGGTGCAGACTGTGCTGGGCCCCCCAGCAGGCCTCGAAAGTGGCGACAGTTTCACAGATCGCAGCCCCCCAGGGATGGCGAGGTCTAATTTGAATCCGCCGCGGGTGCAGACTGTGCTGGGCCCCCCAGCAGCCCTCGAAAGTGGCGACAGTTTCACAGATCGCAGCCCCCCAGGGATGGCGAGGTCCCATTTGAGTCCGCCGCGGGTGCAGACTGTGCTGGGCCCCCCAGCAGGCCTCGAAAGTGGCGACGTTTCACAGATCGCAGCCCCCCAGGGATGGCGAGGTCTAATCTGAATCCCCGTAAGACGTCACCCCGCTGCCCCCCCCCAGCAGCCCTCGAAAGTGGCGACAGTTTCACGGATCGCAGCCCCCCAGGGATGGCGAGGTCTAATCTGAATCCCCGTAAGACGTCACTCCGCTGCCCCCCCCAGCAGCCCTCGAAAGTGGCGACAGTTTCACAGTTCGCAGCCCCCCGCAGGCAAGACAGGAAGAGGCAGGGAGGGAAGGAGGAGGAGGAAGAGGAGGGGAGACGCGACCGCAGTGCTCTATTCAAAACGAGTACCCAACCAAGGAGGGTTGGGAAAATGTCCGAAGGGTTTCCACAATGGCTCGGGGTACACGCTGTCCGATAGCTTGACCGAGCTCTGGCAGGGGGCGGCGATGATTCGCCGTAGGCGTCTTCCATCCGCCGCACCCCTTGTGAGCGTATTAGTGTTTCTCACAGTGGCGTTTGACAGATGCGCGAACGCCTCACCTTATCTATCCTATCCGTCTAAGCCCTAACTCCTCCACTGTGCCAGGGGTCTCCGCGCGGCTGGCCTGCGTTTCCAACGGCTGCACGTTGATTGACCGCGCGTTGTCAGCAGAGTTAGAAGACGGCTGATCTTGATTTGATCGTGCATCGGCGATGCATCGTCGACGCGGGTGCTGCATCGGCGACGTCGACGTGAAGCAAGTCGGACCGGGTCCGGGCCGGGTCCGGGCCGGGTCCGGGCTGGGGCCGCGTCCGGGCCGGGTCCGGGCCGGGTCCGGGCCGGGTCCGGGCCGGGTCTGGGCCGGGTCCGGGCCGGGTCCGGACCGGGTCCAGGCTGGGTCCGGGTCCGGGCCGGGTCCGGGCCGGGTCCGGGCCGGGTCCGGGCCGGGTCGCCGGGTGGGCGCCGGGTCGGGGAAGCCTTGTCAACACCTTTCTGGACCTTTTCCTCATAGGTGCGCGCCGCAACAAGGATGGCGCGCGGGGAGGTGCAAATGGCGGCCACGAAACGCTTGAGTGTTGCGCCAAGGTGGGGGTGGAACTGCATGCGGGCGCTGCCACTGGGGCCTTCGGTACAGCCCCCGACGGGACCTCGAAACGTGTGAGGTTGCTCCCTATGGGGCCACGAACCGTGCGAGGGGTGCGCCAAGATGGGGGTGGAACTGCATGCGGGCGCTGCCACTGGGGCCTTCGGTGGAGCTCCCTCTAGGGCCACGACACGCGTGAGGGGTGCGGCGAGTTGGGGGTGGAAGTGCATGCGGGCGCTGCCACTGCGGCCTTCGGTGGAGCTGCCTATGGGGCCACGGAACGTGTGAGGGGTGCGCCAAGATAGGGGTGGAACTGCATGCGGGCGCTGCCACTGGGGCCTTCGGTGGAGCTCCCTCTAGGGCCACGAAACGTGTGAGGGGTGCGCCAAGATGGGGGTGGAACTCCATGCGGGCGCTGCAACTCAGGGTTTTCGGTGGAGCTCCCTGTGGGGCCACGAAGCGTGCGAAGGGTGCGCCAAGATGGTGGTGGAACTGATTGCGGGCGCTGCCACTGGGGCCTTCGGTGGAGCTCCCTCTGGGGCCACGAAACGTATGAGGGGGGCGCCAAGATGGGGGTGGAACTGCATGCGGGCGCTGCCACTGGGGCCTTCGGTGGAGCTCCCTTTGTGGCCACGAAACGTGTGAGGGGTGGCCGAGATAGGGGTGGAACTGCATGCCGGCGCTGCCACTGGGGCCTCCGTTGGAGCTCCCTGTGTGGCCACGAAACATGTGAGGGGTGCGCCAAGATGGGGGTGGAACTGCATGCTGTCGCTGCCACTGAGGCCTTCTGCGGAGCTGTCTACGGGGCCACGAAACGTGTGAGGGGTGCACCAAGATGGGGGGTGGAACTGCATGCGGGCGCTGCGACTGGAGCCTTCGGTGGAGCTGCTTATGGGGCCACGAAACATGTGAGGGGTGCACCAAGGTGGGGGTGGAACTGCATGCGGGCGCTACCACTGGGGCCTTCGGTGGAGCTTCCTGTGGGGCCACGAAACATGTGAGGGGTGCGCCGAGACGGGGGTGGAGCTCCATGCTGGCGCTGCCACCGGGGCATTCGGTGGAGCTCCCTGTGTGGCCACGAACCGTGTGAGGGGTGTGCCAAAATGGTGGACATGGATAGAGCAGAGGCAGGGATGGGAGGAGGGAGGAGAAGAGGAAGGAGAGGAACGCGGGCGCTGTTCTTTCAACACGAGGACCCAACACCACAGGATGGTTGGGAACAAAACACCAGCACCAGAACCCGCACCGATTTCGGGAGCGGGGGAGGAGGACCCTAGAGCGTGTGAGGGCTTGAATGGTCTGCCCGTGTGCTGGAGGAGCTCCGTCCTCTCCCCTCGTCTTGCACGCTGGCCAATCCGCGTCTCGGTGCCTCCGCTTTAGCTCCAGCGCTGGCGCAGCAGGCTCCGCCTCGCCGCCGACGAGGGGGGTGTGCTGGAGGAGCCGTGCTCGGGCGGTCTTCCGCCACTCGCGGGCGGACGAGGGGGCGGCAGGGCACGGAGCGGCATGTCCCGCCGCCCGGGGCGCGCGCCTCCGCAAAGGGGCGGCCGGAGCGCCGTTGGCCCCACGCTGGCCTTATGTCGGGCGTGTCCCCCTACAGGGGGATTTTCGACGAAAGATAAAGAGTACCCCAAAAAATATTCCAAAAAGGTTAAAAATACTAAAAAGATAGTCCCCGGACTAGTTTTAGATTATTTTTTGATTATCTTTGGGGTATGTTTTATTTTTCGTCGAAAATCCCCCTATAGGGGGACAGGCCCGACTTAACGCTAGCCCTTCTGTTGATGCCGATCCTCGTCCGCCGAGTACAGTCGGACTGAGTTGTAGCATCGAGGTGGCCGGTTCGGGAAGGGTGCGCTGGCGTTCTTCGTGCCTGTCGGATGTTCTTGTGAAGCCTGGGGGGGAGGCCCTTGGATGTTCTGTGTGCTCTGGCCGGCGGAGGGTCTCATGCTCTTGGAGGATGTTTTTCTTCAGGTCCGACTGTAATACCGATCTTCGTCCGCCGAAAACCGATTGGACGTAAGAGTGACCCTTCGCCGGAGTGACCTTTGGTGCGGGCCCACAGGGGCCCCCCGATCGCCGAACGCGGTGCGATAGTAGCGTCTTGCGCGATTGGATCTGGTCCCACCGCGGCCCCCCCAAGAGCCACGCACCAGAGGCCACGCTTACCCAGGGCCACTCCTGCGTGCAGCCGAGAAGACCACCCCCGGGCAGGACTGGCCGTCTGGAAGGACGGCGAGGTCGTGGTCACCCGGGGGCTGCTGCGGCAGATGCCGGGCTTCCGCGGAGGCCTCGCGCCGTGCCCAACCCTGCGGGGCACGGCCCGCGCGAGCCGGTGGGGGAGGCGCACGCGCGCCGGGTTGCCGACGGCGGCCCTCGCGGCCGCGGCGGGCAGACCTGGGGCCCGAGCCCGACACCACGGGAGCCAGGCTTGCGGAGGTCGATCAGTGGAGAGGAAGCATGTTGCCAAACAACTTCCAGCTGTCTAGAACATGTGTGAAACATGTCTTCACCACGTGAAAGACATGCTTGGACCATTTTTGGAGCATGATGTACACATTGAAACACACACTTGTCATTCAATGATCGGACTGTGAGGGTGTCCACTGTCGTGGCATCCACAAAGCTGGGCTCTCCCCAGGCCGCCGCAGAAGGCCAGGTCGACGAGCGCGGCCAGAAGCCCAGCGCAGAGTACGGGCAGCAGCAGCACCAGCAGGGGGATGGAAGCAATCGGCACTGAGGAAGCGAAGAGCTCTCACTGCATAGCCACGGGCCAGAGGGCACCTCGTGTCAGGAGCACCCTTCTGCCAGCAACCCGGGGCCGCGCCCGAGAGAGGCGCGTCCGCGTTGAGAGAAGAGGCCCACGACGTCGCAGTTCTGGATCCCCCCCCTTTCCCTCCTCCTCCTCCTCCTCCTCCTCCTCCTCCTCCTCCTCCTCCCGTGCTGTGGCCGCGCGCCCTCCGACCTCGTCCTCCTCGGCCTTTCTCTCTCTCTCTCTCTCTCTCCTGCGTGCTTGGCCGGGCGAGGGCCCCTTGCGTCTCTGGGCCCTCGGGGGCTGGCGTCGACACGGCGCCGGCAAGGCGCAGTGATACAGGCCTCGCAAAAAAATAGCGAACACTTCGGGCGAAGAGAACTATGCCAATGCACCGATCCTGACAACGCCCATCCTTGACCCAGGATCGGTGCATATATCTTCCTGGCCAAGGTAGGAGGGCGTATGCACCGATCCTGGGCTCAGGATGGTCCTGGCCAGAATCGGTGTATGTGCATAGTTCTTTTTCCTCTAACACTCATGCCACATTCATCTGTGAACGCCTCCCCCTCCCCCCAACGTTCAAAGTTGGCGGTGGGTCTGATGAGTTGCACCTCGACCGCAGTCTCCCCCCCGAGTGCCAACTTTGAGTTCGGGGGGCAGGGGGGGGGGTCACTAATTGTTTCCCTATACCGTGCGACGAAGTGCGGGCCAGGCGTATCTTCGGCCGCGAGGAGCGGAGCAATGCCCCCGAGGCGCCCTTTTGACGCCATGGCCAGCTCGGCTTGGAGGCGTGCTCCCGATATCCCCCGCAGGTGGCAGTGCCCCACCCTGTGCGGGGCCCCTCTGGCGACGCAGCCGTGGAGACACGAGCGCCTTGTGAAGCTCTGCGGTGGTCCGGGAGCAGGCTGGCAGCCCCCTGGTGCAGCCCCCAGGTCCTCGCCGCATTTGCGCCACGACTGTCGGAAGATTTCTCCACTTGGTGTGTTGTAAACGATGTCTGTCTCCCCAATTAGAGCTTTGCGTGGCCCGCCTAGCTTTTAACCGGAAGAGGCTCGCTCTCGACCCGCAGACCAAAAAAGTGTTGTAAACGATGCGCGCGCGGTTTGCCGCGACACTGCGCTCCACTTGAGGGCGGCTGCAGCCCGTGTGCGGCCACTTGGGTCAAGATGCCGTGCGTCCTGGCAAGCCTGATGAACAGAAGCGTGCCGGATTGAACACTGAGTACATCCCCTTGAAAAAAGTGCATATCAAAAGTGGCACAGGGATGGAAGCCCGAAAGATGTTGAATCAGACCAGGCGGGGCCCGTCGCATCAAGTGGCATCCGCCTGTCAATGTTACGGAAAAGCGTATCGTCTGCATTGTGCGTTGCATGTTAGCGATCCGACTGGTCGGAACGAAACCGCAAGGCAGAACTCGGAACCGCCCACGCCAGCGGCCCTGCGAAGGATCAACTTGGAAGAGCATCCGGGCATTAAGCGTCGTCCGCCTCCCAATGTTGCCAGTGGGCGCGCAAGCAAAAGTGTGGCATGTCAATGACCTGGCCCGTGGTGCACGCTTGCGCACGCTGCCAACTCTGAAAGGCGAATAGCACTTAATGATCCTCATTGGGCGTTGCCGTTTGCAGATCATTCACGATGATCGTCTTGCTGATGTTGCGGGCGGGTTCAGGTTCACTGTGGAAATTCCTATGCGGGGCGCACCTCCCGTTGCCCAGGGACCCCACTCAACGATCGGGCGGTGGCAGGCTCAGTGCGGAAAGCCACACACGGGACGCACCTCGCGTACAGTGGCGAGCCCCGGCGTGCCCACTTGACGATCTGGTTTTGTCCGCGCTGCGCGCGTGAAAAAACTGGGCGGGAAGCATCGATCGTACATCGGAGCTGCTTGAACATGTTTTTATTAGTTAAAACGCTGCCCGTCCTTTTTTCACACGCCAAACGCGGTAAAGTGGGCACGCCGGGGCACGCCACTTTACGCGAAGTGCGCTCTGTATATGAGCTTACACACTAAACCCGCACCCGCCCGATCGCGGAGCGGGATTGCCAGGCATCTGAAAGTGCACCCCGTGTGTGAACTTACATGACAGAACCCGCCCCCCCGCTGGATCGTCAACGCGGTTTGTTGGACAGCGCTTCGCGGGCCCCATGGTTTCGTCCGCCCCGCAGGGCCCCGAGGCCTCACAGGTCGCACAAGTCTCGAACGCCCCACACGTCTAGCAGGTCCCACAGGTCTCGCAGGTCCGACAGGTCCCACAGGTCCCACAGGTGCCGCAGGTCGCACAGGCCCCGCGGGTCCCACGAGCCCTACAGGTCCCGCAAGGCCCGCAGGTCTCTCGCAGGTCCGCACGAGGCCAACGTTTTGCGCAGGTCCCACAGGACTTACAGGCCTCGCAGCTCCCACAAGTTTCGCAGGTCGCACAGGTCGCACAGGTCCCGCAAAACCCACCGATCCCGCAAGTCGCCCAGGTCCGGCATGTCTCGCAGGTCCCGCACGTCGCGCAAGTCAAACAGGGGCACAAGTCTCACAAGTCCCACAGGACCCGCAGGGCGGCACGCTAACTGACGAGAGGGAACCGCGTGGAAACCCACCCATCCCCTTGAAAAAAGTGCATATCAAAAGTGGCACAGGGATGGAAGCCCGAAAGATGTTGAATCAGACCAGGCGGGGGCCGTCGCATCAAATGGCATCCGCCTGTCAACGTTACGGAAAAATGTATCGTCTGCATTGCGCGTTGCATGTTAGCCATCCGACTGGAGGGAACGAAACCGCAAGGCAGAACGTGGAAACGCCCACGCCAGCGGCCCTGCGAAGGATTAGCTTGGAAGAGCACCCGGGCATTAAGTGGCTTCCACCTCCCAATGTTGCCAGTGGGCGCGCAAGCCAAAGTGCATATCAATGACCTGGCCCGCGGTGCACGCCTGCGCACGCTGCCAACATTGAAAGGCGAATATCACTTAATGATCCCTTTGGGGCGTTGCCGTTTGCAGATCATTCACGATGATCGTCTTGCTGATTTTGTTATAACTGTTTCCCGGCTGTGTATGCTGCCCATCCGATCGCGAAGTCGTCGCTGTTGCCGATGCCTGCTGCCCCCGGCTGTCTTCCTCATCGCTGGCGCATGCGTTTCTCGCGGCCGGCTCGAGGCCCTGCAAAGGTCCTCGCGGTCTTGGGCAAGAGCTGGCAGCCTTCAAGCCAGGCGTGCGGCATGAGTGCGCAGGGAGGACCAGGAGGGCGTGGGTGAGAATGAAGAGCAGTGGGAGGAGGAGGGGGCGGAGGAGGAGGAGGAGGTGGAGGAGGAGGAGAAAGAGGAGGAGGAGGAGGACCTGTGCAAACCCAACATATCAACAATGTTAGAATAAGTCCTCCCTCCGAGCCCCTTTCTTGACAGGCCTATACAAAGGCTCATATCAATTGAGGGAATTGCTTTGTTGGAAAATAAACATTGAGCCCGTGAAGCGTGCCTATATATATATATACACACACATACGCGCGCGGCGCTTAGGCGAGAGCCACATTTTGCAAGCGAGCCGCCCTCGATCCGTGGCGAAGCTCTTGCACATGTTTAAAACGAAAGTGCGCGGCGTTAAGGCGAGAACCATGTTTAAAACGAAAGAGCCGCCCTCAATCCATGAAGCTCTTACAATGTTTAAAACAAATGTGCGCGGCGCTATGGCGAGAGCCACATTTTGGAGACGGCCCGCCCTCAATCCGTGAAGCTCTTGCACTTTGTTAAATTCGGAGATGTGCGGCGCTGAGGCGAGAGCTATATTTTGAAAACGATTTGACCTCAAAAACATGAAGCTCGTGCAATTGTTTAGAACGAAGGCGCGCAGCGTTAAGGCGAAAACCACATTTTTGGAAGCGACCGGCCCTCCATCTGTGAAATTGCTACCACTTGCCAAGCTTCAGGCTCATACATTGTAAGGAAGTCTCGGGCGAAACGCCCGGTCCGCCCTTCTCTACCGGCCCCATGGTGCGACAGGGAGAACATTGACAAGGCTTTGCGGCCGTTGCCGCCGACCCTGGACGATACGCCCACGACGAAACATGATATGTAATATCTTACGCACTTCGGTAGAGGAACTGATCACTACGGTTTCTTCGGTGCTCACTGCAGTACTGACTGGGGGGCGCCCCCCCCGCCGCCGCCATTTTGAGCTGATTTTGGCCGGCGAGCCCGCCGCCATTTTGTTGTTGCCTAGTTGCGATTGCGGTTGCGCTCGCGGGCGGGTTGAAATGTTTCGCCTGGTTGGGAATTGAAAAATATCGCACTTCCGCGTCACGCTGTGCGCTTTTTAAATAGAATTGCAAATATTTTATCGGGGGAGTCCCACGCCCGCCTGAGATATTATGTGTTGTTATGTTCGTTGTAGTTTTTTCAACGGATTGCAAAACGCAGCCCGCCCGAATAATTCCGCACTGGTCACAAGACGATTCGCCGCCAAATTTTTCCTGGGAGTTCCAGCTGATTTGAATTCGTTGATTCGCCTTGCCGCCGTGTCTGTCGATGCGTCAGTTACTGTTTCAGGTTTTGTTCTCCGCCGCCTGTTTTTTCCTGAAATGGAGTATGTTGTATTGCTTCCAGTGTGATAGGAACTGCATTGGCTCTCGGACTCGGACTGCGGGGTTGGAGAGTTGCTTGGAGAGGGTAGGTGCTTCGCCTACAGAGACTGGTGTGCCCGTAGAGGGTCTGACGAATGTTTCGATGGGGGACGGGGTCGGCGTTTGCACTGGAAATGCCGGAGTATCGCAAAAATGACTCGAAGGAGGGGCCTTCTACGAAGTTTGGACCGCCGTCGGGATTGTTTCGGGGATCTCCCCCCCTCCCCCGGCAAGGGAGCGATCAAAGCGAAGGGGCTTCTCTTCGAGTCAAGAGCGACCTTGATAAATTCCACTGCCAGGGATCGCCTCAGGGAGGCCGTCGTATCTACCCCCCCCCAGCACCTCTTCCAGGATCCCCGCCATTTCTGGCGGGGGAGTGATCAAGGGAAGGGGCTTCCCTGCGATTGAATTACGACGTTGATCAGTTCCATTGTCCAGATCGCCCCAGGAAGGCCGTCGTGTCTGACCACCCCACCTCGGGACTCTTCCCAGGACCCCCCGCTTCCCTCCGGCTGGGGAGGGATGAACGATAATGAAAGGGAAGGGGCTTCTTTTCGATTCAATGACGACGTTGATCAATTTCACTGCCCGGAATCGTCCTAGGGATGCCGTCGTATCTGACCCCCGCACACCCCTGGGATCCCTCCCAGAATCTCCCCCCCCCTGGCGGGGGAGGGATGAAAGGGAAAGGACTTGCTTCCCTTCGATTCAATTACGACGTTGATCAATTCCACTGTCCAGAATCGCCCCAGGGATGCCGTCGTATCTGACTCCCCTCCCCCCCACGGGGGACCCCCGGGACCCCCCCGCGATGGAAGGATGGAAGGGAAGGGGCTTCCCTTTCATTGAATTACGGCGTTGATCACTTCCATTGCCCAGGATCGCCCCAGGAAGGCCGTCGTATCTGCCCCCCCCCCCGGGACCCCCCCCCACCCCGGCGGGGGAGGGATGAAAGGGAAGGGGTTCCTTTTCGAATCACCTACGACGTTGCTCACTTGCACCATACATACGAGGGGCTACTCCCCGGGACCGCCAGGTCTTTGGAGAGCTACGGAAAGCATTTGAAACCTTCTTGGGGCTCTTCTTCGAGTCGATCACGACGTTGCTCATTTCCGCTTTGGGGGTGGCTGGCGCGCTTAGTCTGTGTGCGCTGGCGGAGGCAAGGCTGGTGAAAACGGTGAGGGTGGCCGTCGTAGCTTCGCTAAAGGAGGAGAGGCTTGCGAAAACGCCAAAGGAGGCCCTCCTGTCGATTCATTTACGACGTTGCTCAATGTCGCTGTTGTTGTGAACGGCGCGCTGGAGGAGGAGAGCTTGGAAAGGGACGGGGGAGACAGCGATCACGACGAACGAATGACAGAGATGACGACTCGAACGGAGAAGCCCCTCACACGCCGACAGGGTCGGCAGAATTATGAAGGAAAAGAAGTGGAGGAGGAGGAGGAGGAGGAGGAGGGTCATGCGAATTATGATTAGGGGAACCACCAGGGGGACAGGGAGAGGCAGGAGGAGGCGGAGGGGGATAAAGGGGGATGAGGGGGAGGTGGGAGGGGAGGAGGAAGAAGATGATGATGATGATGATGATGATGATGATGATGATGATGAGGAGGAGGAGGAGGAGGAGGAGGAGGAGGAGGAGGAGGAGGAGGAGGAGGAGGAGGAGGGGGACCAGTGCAAACCCAGGACACCCTCCCTCCGAGTTCCCTTTCCTGGGACTCCAACACCACGAGTCAACCTAACCGTTGCGTCCTGGCAATCCTGAGCCGCTCCAGGGCACAAATTCTGCTACGTTTACCAACTGTTTATAATGAATGTGCGCGGCGCTAGAGCGAGAGCCACATTTTGAAAAGGAGCTCCCCTCAATCTGTTATACGTTTTGCAATTATTTAAATCGAATGTGCGTGGTGCTAGGGCGAGAGCCACATTTTGAAAACGACCCGCCCTCAATCCGTGAAGCTCCTGCAAGTTTCTAGAACGAATATGCACGACCCAAACGCGAGAGCCACATTTTGAAAACGGCCCGCCCTTAATCCGTGAAGCTTTTACATACACTGTTTAAAACGAATGCGCGCGGCGCTAAGGCGAGAGCCACATTTTGAAAGCGACACGCCCTCAATCCGTGAAACTCTTGCAAATGCTTACATTGAATGCGCGCGGCGCAAAGGCAAGAGCCACATTTTGCAAACGACCCGCCCTCAATCTGTGAAGCGAATGTGCGCGGCGCTAAGGCGAGAGCCACATTTAGAAAACCACCCGCCCTCCATCTGTGAAGCTGTTGTCAGTTTTTTAGCTTCAGGCTCATTAGTGGCAAGGAAGTCTCAGACGAAATGCCTGGTCCGCCCTTCCAGCTGGCCTCGGGGTGCGACAGGGAGGAGCCATCCATGAGGACAAGGAATACAGGAGGAGGAGGCGGAGGAGGAGGAGGATGAAGCTCTCTGGCTCCAATCTCTTTTGGGATGCAGCGCCAGCGGGAGGAGGATGCCCTCTGACCCCGATCTCTTCCAGCGCGGCCTCGCCAGGATGCCGCACACTGGGCAGATCTTCTTGCCCTTAACTCGGACGGCTCGGAGGGGACCGCGCGCTCTGGGCCGCCGATTTGGTTCTGCCGCGGGTGCACGGGGCCGCCGGTGCTGCAGCGCAGCTGAGGCCGGCTGTCGCGCGCCCTCTCACTGCCGCCCGACTGGCGCGGCCGCAGCGGCCAGGAGGAGGAGGAAAAGGGAAAGGGTCGGAATTGGGCATGTGCAAATACGGGTGCGGAGGGGGGGTCGCCAACAGGAGTCTCGGGAAGTGTGCGTTCGGCAGGTGTTTTTTACATGTTTGCCACAGCGGGGCCGCAGGCGAGGGACCCGACTTAGCCCGCCGGATTCTACACATGTGAGAGTGCGGATGGGGGGGGTCGCCAACATGGGTCTCGGCACGCGTGCGTTCGGCACGTGTTTTTAGCTAAGTGTTCCTGGCCACGATTGGGCCGCAGGCGAGGGACCCAACTTAGCCCGCCAGATTCTTTACGCGTGAACATACGTGCGCAGGGGGGGGACCCCACATGCGCCTGGCGCGTGCGCGCGGGGCACGTATTTTCACGCGCCCACGGCCCCCAGCGAGGGGCCCAACTTGGCCCGCGGGATTCTTCTCACGTGAAAGTACGTGCGCGGAGGGGGGGGGACCCAACATAACATGTGCCTGGCGCGTGCGCGCGCGGGGCACGTATTTTCACGCGTCCACGGTCCCTGTAAAAATACATGCGCGGAGGGGGGGGGGGACCCAACAGGCGCCTGGCGCGCGGGACACGTATTTTCACGTGTCCACGGCCCCCAGGACGTGTAGGAGGTAGTGGTTGCAGCCAAGCAAAGAGAAAGTGTTGCACGCGCGTGAGAGGAAAGTTCGATTCAAGCTCCTTACCGGGTTCGTGGACCCTTCAAATTTTGCGAAGAGTCCTGATTCCGTTTCCTGGCATTTCTCTCCCCACCACCGTGTTTGTTTGTATAATCGATGTTTTCCTTTTTGTTCAGGCCAGCTTGCGTGAGGGCTTCACCATACCCATAGGCATTTGTTCAAAGCTAGGATCCGCCTCCACTGCCGGCGTCACCCCAAGGTTAG